CTATGTTACGTGGATTAGAAGAGTTAATATATACACAAAGATTAGCCTAAAAATAGGCCTAGAACCTAAGTTGGCAGAATTCTTATCTGACACAGGGGGCACTCCTGTATTTATTTTCTTTCGCACCTGGTCTGGCTTTGATAACTGGTGAGATTTCCATATTTAACTCTTTTTGGTGGTAGCATTCTGATTTCAAACAAGTAACTCATATCTGAAAGAGACAAAATTCAGGATTTATCACCTTGTTCTATGTAGTTAAATGTTTCAATTTTACCAGATCCTTTCGTAGAACTCAGGATTTTGATATAGGATCTAAAGATCTATGTGAAAGTTCTATGGTAAAAATAAATGCTTGCTGAGGGCAGAATTCAAAAGCAAGAGTCCTGACTGATTTTGGTGGCTGTGTTCAGTGCACCAGTGAATGAAAATGCTGATATGATAACCCTCAGACGTGATCGCTTATGTAGACCTGAATGGTAAGTAGTTTCAAATTTAAATAGTAACATCGAAAGTCACACATCTTAGCTAATTTTTTGAAGAGTGTTTATGCCAAAATCATAAGAAAAATATTTTAACTTTTATAATAGGCAAATATACATGTCTTCAGACTTTTAGTATAAAGTAAAAATATCCTTGAAAAAATTGCTCAAATCTCCCTGCGTTGATTTTGTGAAATATATCAAGAGATAGGAAATTGCAGTAGGGTAAGTTTGAAGTTAGTCTGTGAATTTAGAAATACTATGTTTTTGAGTGAGGGCTTTGAAAAAAGAATTGGAGGTATTTGTTGCTGTAGATCACTTAGCATTTCTAGAGGGAGCTCACATTTGATTTTCTCTTTAGAACAACTTTAGCGAGATGGGAATATTTAATTGTTCTTCTGCCTTTCAAGGAACATAAACTGTGGCAGATTGTGGACTAAGTACAAGAGGAGCTTTCGTTGTGAATTAAGGTCAGGTTTCTTCGTAAGTGGATACCTTGTAGATGCAGTTGAATATCAATGTGAAGGGCCCTTGAGATACAAGAGTTATTCCTACTACTTCACTTCCTGATATTTTAGCAGAAAAAAATTTTGTTTTCTTTTTGAAAATAAAAGAACTTAATAGATCAGATTTTCTAAAGCATAGTCAGTGATACCTAGAAGCGGCTGTTTGCTTTCCCTTCATGTAATCATCATATATGCTTAGTCTTAGGAAATTAATCATGTACTTGTTAAACAATGCTTTTTAAATTCTCTGTCACGTGCAAGGCATCTTCAGGGTACTTAGAAGATCTTGATTAATGTATCGAAGTCCCCAGCATCTTTGAGCAACAACCTTTTGTTTACACAGACAGAGTATGTTCTATTTCCAGTAAGTTAACTGGAAAATGTGACATTTAAAATTACATTCCCAAAGAAATATAAAACACTTAAAATATTGTTTGGCATTAATTTTTCTGTGGTATGGAAAATACATTATGAAATATGGGTATGGGATAGCTTTTTTTTTGTTGTTTTTGGAGGTTTTTTTGCCCCTAGCAGTTCTGAGGGGATGACTCATTTGAATAATTTATTTTGTTTTCATATTATACTCCAGTCCCTCAATTAAATATGTAAAAATATCGAGAATTATGATATTCTACTTTATATTCAAACTCAATATTGAGAGGGTGAGATAGCATTACCTCTAAATAGATTCTGATGCCTGGAAACCAACATACCTTGGTTCTTCCTTGTCAGTAACTTTTTGCTACTTAGGGAGTTAACCTCAGCTTTCTCATCAGTGAAATGGGTATAGTGATACACCTCAAAGGTTTTTTATTAGGTTAAGTTCTGGACACTGACAAGCATATAATAAGCTTTAAATAAATGAAAGCACTCTTATTATTTTTATTATCACAATGTATTTTTTTAATTCCTTCTCTACCTCCTCTTCTCCACTTTTTCCTCTACCTTGGCTCATAGTGCTGGAAGATAAGGCCATCAGAGGGGATAGCAGTCCCCTCGAATGAAAGTACCTTCTTATAATATTCATTTTGTAAAACAACGAGAATAAAATGAGTACTCTGTATATTTTCAGACGCTATTGGGAAGAACTTTTAAAAACTGTATTGAGGGCGCCTGCGTGGCTCAGTTGGTTAAGCGACTGCCTTCGGCTCAGGTCATGATCCTGGAGTCCCGGGATCGAGTCCCGCATCGGGCTCCCTGCTCGGCAGGGAGTCTGCTTCTCCCTCTCCCACTCCCCGTTTGTGTTCCCTCTCTCGCTGTGTCTTTCTCTGTCAAATAATTAAAATCTTTAAATAAATAAATAAATAAAAAATAAATAAAAACTATATTGAGATTTTAGAATAAATAATTACATTTTTTGAACTTCAAATAAGAGCTTTATTATATTATCTCCAGAGTTTAAAGTGTGAATTGGATTCATGTGCACACACTGTCTATTAAAATACAGACTTTAAAAACATTTTTTTTTTAGGCTTCCTCATAATTTCTTGGATGAATTTCAGAGATTTTATTCTAGTAAAACTGTAGTTTAAAAAAGGTACATTTATGAAATGAATGCATCACTAAAATGTATGAACCTAAAAATGTGAAAAAATAATTTAAGTGACATTAAATATTAATGAAAATATAAGATCTTTAAGTTCTGTTAGTCCAAAGTGTAATTACCAAGTGAAAATTTGAAGATAATCCCAGACATATGTTTCTGATTGTCTTAGAACAAGAAAAAGTTTAGTGACTGTTAAAACCCTTTATTCCTTAAGTAGGATATAGGATAACCCCATCTCTATTTTAAAAGAATGTGAGATGTGACCTTAATTTTTCTTCTCTCTCTTCTTTCTTTTTCTCCCCTCCCCTTCATTTTCCATGTGTCCCCCCACCCCCAAATCCCAGTTGCAGACAGTTAGATTAATTATATTCCTAGGTTCATGGCCAGTTTGATCATGGCTGAGATGATCCCTGCAGCTTTCCTCTCTTCTATTCATGTGTTTATTCCCTTTTATCTCTATTTCTTTCTTTTTTTTTTATTCTGCTGCCTTATATTTGAAACCACTGACATTTTTCTTTAAGATTTGTTGATTGCACAGTATATGTATATAAACTTGTAGAAATTAGTGATAATGAAGACAAATTAGCTACCAAACCCACTGCCACAATCATCTGTCTGAAATTTTCCCCTAAGCCTCTTGTTTATCTCTATTCTAACTTTATTTTCCCTTTGCACCATAGACAACTGCTCTAATGTACTTGATTTGCATCCTTAGATTTATAATATATCTTTGTAAATTGTGTAGTGATATTTTGAGTGGGAATGAATTTTTAATATATATAGCTGGAGTTGTGACACAGAATGCCTCTGATATTTTGATTCTTTGTCGGCTTTGGAAGGTCCTTTCATGTTACAGTGTTTACAGGGAATGTGCCGGTCCTCACTTCTGCATGGTAATCCGTAACATAACACGCTGATTGCTTCCCACTGTCAGCCAACACTAAGAGGTTCTCATTAAACACCCTTTTACATACTCTCTTAGGTGAAAATTTCTCTGAGAGTGGGATTGCTGGTTAGGGCTTATCCTGGGCTTAGTGACTCTTGTTGATTGGAGAGTTCTGTCAGATGGCCCAACAGGATGTCTGTCCCGGGCTTACACTGTCACTAATAGTACACAGGGCCTTCTCCCACAGCCCCACCAGGACTGGCTTTACCCAGTTTTCTAAATATTGCCAATCTCAGATCTCATTGTCATAATTTGTGTTTCTCTGGGTTACTGAGGAATTTGAATATTAGTTAAAATGCTTTAACTTTTCTATTTTGTTTCCATTTTTGTTCAAATCCTTTGCCTTTTTTTTTTTTTTCCCTCTATTGGATTGCTTTTCTTTTTCTGGTCACTTTGTTAGTTTTGTTTCTTCGAGGTACAGTCCCTTATTTACATGGTTTGAAATATCTTCTCCTAGTGTATTAATGCATGTTTAACTTTGTCAGTATTATCCCTCAGTAATTAGAAGTCCTTAATTTTGAAATACTCAAATTCATCATTTTCTTAAAACCTTTTGAGTTATATTTGGAGGTCTTTTTAAGAAGTCTCTTTTCCTTCCATAGAGATATTCTCGTACATATTCTTGTTAGCTTTACCTTTTCACATTTAACTTTTAAAACTATCTGGAACTTATCTTTGTATATGGTAAATATGGTATAAAAAGCAAGCTTTATATTACTCTTATGCTTAGAAAGAATTTTGAGTTTATTAATAAACAATGTGAAAATATTGGTTGAAATTACATAGAATTTCTAGATTAATTTTGGAGACTTGACATCTTTCTAATGTTAAATTGTCCCACCCATGAGGCTTGGGATATTTCTCCATATTTTTCAGTTTTGGGTTGGATACTTTCAATTAGTCAGACTAGCTAGATTTAAAAATTGATCTGATATAAAAAAAAGTTGACTTGCTTGATGTGATCAAAAAAACCCCCATAGCAACACTGATTAATTCTATCGGATAATTATATAGATGTGAAATCATAACACTAGCCCTTTTAAAATGTACTTTTTATAGTTCACTTTAATGTGTTTTCCTCTAAAGCACATCTGTGGTAGCTAAATCTTAAGTGGTTTTTTAATTCAGTGATTTTTTTTTTGTACTTTTTATCATTGAAATATGATAAATGAATAGCTTTTATGAAAAGAATTACTATTTAGTTGACTACCAGTGGCATTTTTAAATTTTAGGTCATAATTCTGTAGGGCAACTTCATATTTTTAGAAGTGATCTTTATGTTAGCATTGAGTTTTTGTAGCATGGATGCAAGAATCAATCACATTTAAATTAGAAAGTGTGGAAATAGTGACAGCAGTTTTCATACCAAAAACAAAACAAAACAAAGCAAAACAAAAAAAGTATGCAAACATTTTAGTCTAAGTTTTGGCAGCTCTTACTTTAAAAGAAGGAAAACCCAGAATATATTTTGATAAACACAGTATTGTGTTTTATAAACAGTTATAGGAAAAGAAGGGATTTTGATGCCTTACACTTAGGGATAAGGAAAACAATGATTCCGAGTGACACCTGCATGCTCATTGCTAATGTGAGATGAATTTTTGAGCTGGTAAAAGTGGCCCCTAAGTTGACCTGCCTACTTTGCTGGATGCCTGGGAATCGCAATCTGTTTGTGTTCCCCTTTAAAACACTGGAAGAGTAGACTGGTATGAAGGTAATAAAGGAGCGTGAGGAAAAAGAACAAGGTGGGGGGGGATATTGAAAAGGGATTGTTTTCATATTTGAATATGATAAAATGGTCTCCGTCAATGCCTTTCAGCCAGAGACATTCAGGAACACACTGATCCTAAAGAATTTGGCTTAATTACTACTTTCATTGAGGGAACATTGCATGGGGGATCCTGAGGTTGTATCCTAGGGTTTGAACTTTGGTTGGGTGATTTGGGAGAGGGTCTAAAGAAGCAGGGCTGTTCTCTAGATTGGATGCTGGAACAATTCTATGACTGGATAAAGAAGTCATTCATTTAGCAAGAGAGAGGGATGTTTGGTATTTTGTGGGTTGTGCTGTGGCCTTTTTCTTTTTTGTGTTTGGTAAAATTATGAAGTAGTCTCGCTTTCTCTCACTTACCATGGATTCAAAGTAACCTTGTCTCACGTTGGTATTCTGTAAGAATGTGTATGTACAATAGAAAAAAAATAGCCTGATGGTGAGTGTCTGATGAGTTCAGGACATCAAAGTCTACCCTTCTTCCCATTCCCCCCACTTTCTCCCTTCCTTCCTCTTTCATCCGTAAGTAGTAAAATTGTTTTCAACATATATTCTTAATTTGGGAATTTTCTTTTTCACTTCCCAGTCACCCAGGGCAATGACTGAATCATAAGGATGTGAGAGACTTCTAGCTGGACAAAAAACAAGAAACTTGGCATCACGTGTGGCTTTGCCTCAGATAACCTTGCCAGGGATTTTTAATTCTGAGTTGTATTCTCACTTTGAAATAACCATTTCCCTTGCTGCCTTGTCCCAGTGGAGACCACGTTCGATCCTTTGCTTTTACTTTTCCCCTTACCTGGTTTCACCAGTCTTTGCAAGGCTGGCTCCTTATCTTTCAGTCTTTGGACATCACATCCTTTGCCCCACTTCTAAGATAATCCCTATGTAAATTCGCCTCATCCACTCCACCTTACATGGCTATTTTGTTAGCACTTCTCATTAGCACTTGTCATTATCTGAAGTTAACTCATTTATTCTGTTATGTGGTTCTTCCTTCCCCACTCCGCTTTACTTCCCGTGTCAAACATAAGTTCTGCATGCGTGAGAACTTGTATGTACGTACAGGTCCAGGTGCCCGGCCCCTAATCAAGTTCCCAGAGCCAAATAGGTGTTTAGCAAATACTGGTATAATAATTGGATATGTATATGAAAAAACAAATGAACAACCAACTCAGTAAACATATATTCTAAACACAACTCTATATCTGTTGACTATTAAAAAGAGAAACACTTGTTAGCTTATTATTTCATTGAGATAGAAGTACCTGAGGAAAATGGCAATTTGTTTCCCTGGAAATATGCCTTAGAATTTTCAAAGCAATTCTTTGCTATTATGTTTCTTTCAGCATCTGTGTTCTAAGACTATGGGTTAGGGGCGCCTGGGTGGCTCAGTGGTTAAGTGTCTGCCTTCATCTCAGATCATGATCCCAGGGGCTCCCTGCTCAGCAGGGAGCCTGCTTCTCCCTCTCCCACTCTCCCTGCTTGTGTTCCCTCTCTCTCTGTCTCTCTCTCTGTCAAATAAATAAATAAAATCTTTAAAAAAAAAAAAAAAAGACAATGGGTTAGATGAGATAGTATTATAATGGTGTTTTCCTGGGGCTTAAATTAATATTTGGAGGCATTTCTCTGGAGTGATTCCAATGTAAATAATATGCTTTTCCTACTACTTTGTATTACTGCTATTAAATTTAATATTTGATTTTGAAAATATTTTAAACTAATTTGACAATATTTTAAAACTAAGTTTTATCTTTTACTTCAAGGATTCAGTTTTTCATGGATTTAGAATGCCAAGTCTGAGTTGTAGTGTGTGAAAGTTGGTTTGCAGTGAAAGATGAAACGTGGTCTGAAAATGTTAGGTGGACAGTGGAAAAAGTTTGGAAGCCACCAGCCTTGGATTGGAATTCCTGCTCTGATACTTTTTTATTAATTTTTCAAGTTCTTTAATGTCTCTGAGTCTGTTTCCTCACTCACAGAGTGGACAGGGTATTTTATGTACAGGACTGTGTTTAGAGCTCTGTGAGACGATCCATTTCAGGAGTGTGGTGTGGTATGTGACGTTATTAGGTGATGAATAAATGTAAGAACAGTGCTTTCCCTCTGTTTTCCATCAGAGGAAAAAGGAGGCATATGCCTTTCCAAATACAGAAAATTATTACTCTCTGTAGATAATATGAGGGCATAAAATACATTATATTTGATATTATTTCTATAAGCAGGGCCTTGACATTGTAAATTGCAAAAAGTATCAATCACAAGAATATTAATGATAATAGCAAATACTTGTTGAGTGTTTGCCACATGACAGGCACTGTCTTAACACCTTACCTATATTAACTCATTTAATCCTCATCACAAAACCCATGAAATACCAATTATTTTTCCTCTTTTACAGATGAGTAAATTAAGGCACAGTGTTAAATTAGCAGGGCACAGAGGCAACTTTGGCATTGAAAGATTATACACTTTTTTATGCATTAAAAATGGATACCCCCAAACCTCTTTCATTCCTCAGATACAGTCAGTAATTACCCAAGTAAATATATCTTGATGCACATAAGCCTTCTTCTCATCCCCATCTTCTATCTGGGAGGGACTCCAGTTTCAGCACTCGACACCCCATCTCCTTTTGGTAAGGAAGACAACAGAAGTATCCAAGTTTGAGGGTTAGGTGTACTTGAGAGCCATGCTATACAGACGTTGTTGATGGTGTATCTTTGGTCTTTTGAATGTTGAGAAATCATGATTACTTGGGGTGAAAAATAAAGGGCATACAGAAATTACAGATTTTATTTAAACATTATGTATGACGGTGCTTGGGTGACTCAGTCAGTCAAGTGTCTGACTTCAGCTCAGGTCATGATCTCGGGGTCTTGGGATCGAGCCCTGCATTGGACTCCCTGCTCAGTGGGGAGTCTGCTTCTCCTCCTGCCCCTCCCCCCCCGCTTGTGCACACATATTCTCTTCTCTCTCTCTCAAATAAATAAATAAAATCTTTAAGAAAAGCAAATATTATGTATGAAAATACTGAGACAGTGATTTTCCTACAAATAGATTTATTAGCAGGGGAGGTATAAAAGAACATTAAATCTAAATAAACCATGTATATTTAACCATTTTAAGAAATACAAGGTTTTACCAATATGTTCTGATGATTATTAAGCCTCTTTATTGCTTTGATCTTAGTTATCTTGCTTTTTCTCCTGTTCTTCCATGTCATTTATCAGTTTTATCATGTTTGAATGAAATCTTTGCTTATTTTAAGATGATTTCTTACAGTTTCTGGTTCAGTAAGTATACAATACTTTCAGGCCACGAAGACCCGTACTGAAATTGGAAAGAGCATGAAGTCTTTGTAGATGATCTTAAGATAACATTGTTCTTGGCCTTGTGATGAACTGCATATGTATATCAGCTTTGAGACATAATAATTACTTCAGTTTTTTTAAGACTTTGTATTTAATCTCCTGGCTTGATGAAATGTTGGAGTATAAAGGAAATAAATTTTCCTTCTTAAAAATGTTTTATGAAGGTTTTCTCTCCCTGTGGTACTTCCTGATGGCCTGATATTATGTCATATATAATTGGATTGACGCTCAGCCTGAATACTTCTTCCTCTTCTTGGCAGCATGGGGTAACCTTGGAAATGTTCTGAAGAGTCAGAGCAAAATTTCTGAAGCTGAAAGCGCCTATAGGAATGCTTTGTACTACCGTAGCAACATGGCTGACATGCTTTATAATTTGTGAGTATGCATTACTTTCTCTGGTTTGGTTCATCTTTGAAACCTGTGGTGAGAGAAGGTTGATTTAACTGCTGGAAATGGAAATGATGATAGCTGTTTTTCTGAGACAGTCTTTCCGTTAATCATACCCATGAGACTAGTAGGTGGATAGTTATTTGTGATTTCTTTGTTTTCGGCTTCTGCATCAATATCCATATGTATTGATGGACTGTGGTTGAATTTTTTTGATGTACTATGCCATATAACATAAAAATTGGTTAAATGCTTGTAGTTTTTTGTTTGTTAGTTTTGTTTTTGTTTTTAAGTTCCATTAATAGTTGGGATCAGGTGTGCCTGGGTGGCTCAGCCAGTTGAGTGCCTTTGGCTCAGGTCCTGATTCTGGGTCCTGGGATCCAGCCAAGCATCAGGTTCCCTGCTCAGTGGGGAGCCTGCTTTTTCCCTCTGCCTGCCGCTCCCCCTGCTTGTGCACTCTCTCTCTCCTCTCCCCTCCTCCAAAGCTACTGGTAATTAAGTTAGGATATTGGGATAATTTAGAGTATTTGTGTATGTCAGGTTAGAAAAATCCCTAGGGGAAAAATTTGCTGTTCTTTGGCTGGAAAGCCCTAGGGGGTACAGTAAGATATTAATGGAAACATGCAAAACCCAAATCTCTTCTTTGTCTCTTATATTTATGACACTTTTTTTGTTTGCAAGTAACAGAAACTTGGTCTAACTTTGCTTAAACACAAAAGAGAATTTATTAACTCCTGTAATTGAAAATTCCTGGGGTTGACGGAATGTAGGCACAATTAGAGCCAGGTGTTTTATATTTCAGAAATTTGTTTATATTTTGTGTCTATGATTTCCTTTGGGTTCACTCCATTCTCTGTGGGACTCTGTCTATATCAATTGGAAAGATGACTCGTACACATTTATAATATCCTGACCCTTTTCAATCTCAGAAGGAGTTGCATTGGTGTCTCTATTAATCCTGGGAAAGGTCTCTGAATGACCCTTTTGGGGTCATGTATTATCTCTTGAGTGAACCATGGGGCAGACCGGCAGGGGCGGCAGTAAGACACCTCCTTTGGCAGGGCCTCCAGAGTTTTGACTGATTTGGGGGAGGATCAAGTTCCTGTAGGAAGGGACCAGGCATAATATGTCTACGGCTTATGTTTAA